ATGTGTATATATATATGTGTGTATATATATATATATATATATATATAACTCCTTTGAATGTGCTCTTAAATTGTTCACTATTAAATGAGGATTTTAAAAATGGCAAATTTTACTAGGGAACAAAATATATGGTTAAGAGATAAAGAACTATTACCTATACATCTCCAAGTCTTCCAGCTTTAAGATCACTTCTTCCTTTAGTACACAAAGGAAATGCTCCAGGGACTGTAGAAATTTCAGTCTGTATCCTCCTGCATTCTAATTCCCTCAATAACTATCTTCTATTTGTGTACTTGTCAAGAGACAGCTTTGCTCTGGTTTACCTTTGAGCCAGCCCACATTGTAGTCAATTTCTTGATTATTGCCTAGTAACAAACCATTTTTTCTTTCCTGGAACCCTTGTCTTCTTTCTACACCACTGCCTCAATACTGGATGCCAAACCACTTCCTCCACTCTTCGCACTTTCAGTAATGAGATTATGATGTGTAGTAGGCTGTAACTGAACATTTCATCTAAATGAGAATTTAAAACAGGAAACTGTTAAAAACCAGATGCTATGTCTACCTTGCTTTTCACTCTGAAAATCCACCTTCTCTGGAAATCTCATTTTTGCTAGTTATCAGATGTCTGATCTCATTTTACACAGACTGCCAGTCCCAAATTTTCAAATCCCAAATTCCTATTATTCATTATACACAGTAAGTTATTTTGTCTAAACTTCTCTAGACTACTATGCCTGGTTTACTCCTTCCCGTAGAACAGAAAAATATTAATCGATATATTTCCCAAACAATAGAATCATGGCTAAAATAAAAGATAGCCTATGGCTTAGAATGCAGAAATAGCCATTTCCATTTTTGGATGGGCTATAATTTTCCTACCTAATACAATCCCTTCGGGAAAAACAGAGTATAATAATGGGGTGCACTTCTGTGTGATTTGGATAAAGAAAGGATCAAATAAGGTTACTGAGTGTTGGAAAATACACTTTATTATGAAAAAAAAAAACTATGGTGCTACCTAAACCCAAACACAATAATACAAGGGAAATAACCTAGAAGTACATCATTTTCTCAACATTGATTAATGTGTTTGTATTCATTACTGTAAGGCAAGCAATGCCAGAGAATCGACCATGGAATCTCATTAAACTCAGATTGATGGCTGGCCCACTTAAGATTCCACTGTGGGTCAGGAGTTCTTCCTTTACAGCCTTCCACTCACTCTAGAGCCCAGACTGAATTTCTGCAGAAACTGTACCACCGCACAACACTTCAAGACACAAGAGAGAAAGGGTATGCTATAATCTCACACCAACTCTTCACTGAAAAGGACCTGGTCACATGACCACATCCTAACCAAAGGGAGGCTGGTAAAAATCTTCTGTGTGTACCCAGGACACAAGCCAGAAAGTGACACCAACTCTGCTGCAATTCCTATTCCTAACAAATGAGTGCCCCAATGGAACATAAAGTATTATGATGTTTCAATTGTTTAACTCTTTGACTCTTCACATGAAGTTTTAAAGTACTAAAGTGCAAGATCTAAGCAAAACGTCTTCTATAGCTAGGAAACAAAATTTAAGTTGTTTTCAAACTTGAAAGGTATTGTTAATTCTGACTAGTGAGTGTGAGACTGTATAAACAGAACATTACTTTATAACTGGATATTTCATGGCATTTAAAGTACTTATCAAAGATATCCACACTAACTATAAATTTCAGACTTGCTAAAAGTTGATGCAATTATACTTTTCACCCATCAGCAATTTGTATACCACAGATATTAAAGCCAACTTCAGCATATTGAATTTTATAGGTTTCAGCAGCCAAATCATCTCATTAAATTAATCTTCCTAAGCATTTTTGTATTTGATTACCCTATGTAGATAAACAAACATTTTCTTTGTCTACCAGAATTTTTACATTATTTATGATAACTAGAACAGTTCTACTTTCAGGGAATTTTATTTTTCTGAAACAGCCAAATTTTTTGCTGTTGTTTGATCTACCATAGCTTTGTGTCTCTAAAAAGTGTTGTATGTTTTCCTCTGTAGCAAAATATAATTAATGTTCCCTACAGAAAACACAGAGCAGGAAAACAAAACAATCATTACCTAAGGTTTCTCATACACAAAAATATTCAATATTATCATTTTATATGTATACTACCAGTCACATAAGTATGCGGGTCTATGGATACATGCACATTCATGGAACACACACCCACTCTGTCACTCATTTTTGGTTTCGTAAAAATTTTATAGCACATTTCCAAAAGTCTTTTTTTTAATGCTTAACTTTCAAAACAAAAAGTACCCAATGAAAAAGGAAGCAGAAGCATTAAAGACAATGATTAAACAACCATTCAAATAAAGCAACCCTTAGTCCAACGTTTGCAGACAATAATTTTAGAAATAAATAATGTGATACAGGAAACATTTCAATTTAGTTAGGCATTTTATACAGTAGAGATTGAAGGCAATACTCAAAAGCTATGAATTGAAAACAACTTCCAAATGTCACTGAATGTATTAATTTTTATCAGAAAATGTTTACCTAACTTAATTTGAAAACATCAAGACCTTTTTGAGTTCTTCTTACCACAATCACCACCCTGTTGAACACCTGGCAAAATAGAAAATAGATAATGTAGGGTTTGATCCAAGAGCACCTCTTAGGAAGAGCTCGGAGTTGCAGCTCCCTGTGAAAGCACAGAGGGTGAGTGGACGCCACATTTTTATAGCCCACGGACCAGGAGATTCCCAGGCAGAGGTGCCCCATGGGTCACCAGTGAGGCTATTTTTGCCGGCATGGTTCTTTCAGTCGGCGGGGCTACTTTGCCCCGTGTGGCTGCTTTGTCAGCGGCCTGGCCATCGGTTCTCCATACAAAATACACTGGTCTGGGTGCCCTTTTGACTGGCGATTGGAGCCCAGGGTAGGCGCACATTCATCTGATTAAAGAGGGGATTGAACAGGGAGCCAGGCCAGGAGATTCTTGAGCAAAAAAAGTGCCATGAATCTCAGCACCACTGTTTAAGCCGTTGCAGTAGGTCGCCGCACGGGAAACAGATCCTGGCGCCCTTTCAACAGGCAACTGGAACACCTGGGATAAAAAAGAAAAAAAAAGGCTCTGAGTCAGGGAGCCAGGTGATCAGGCTTGGCTGGTCCCTCCCTCACAAAAGAACAGCAATCAGAAACTTTCTGGATTGAGAGTTTCACAGCAAGCACAGCTGAACCGGGGACTGTCCAGCTCTGTGGGGGAGGGGTGTCCGCCATTACCAAGGCTCTCCACCAATAAGGAGGTAGTCCACCATTGCTGAGGCAGCATGCTGTTGCCAAGGCAACCCGCCATTGCTGAGGCAGCCTGCCATTGCCAAGGCGACCGGCCCTTGCTGATGCAACCTGGCATTACAGAGAGAGTCCACCAACACAGAGGTGGGCCACCATTGCCGAGGCAGTGCTAACTACACCCATATAAACAAGACTGCAGGGAAGTTCACAGGGCAGCAGGGCAGAGCCCACAGCAGCTCAGCAAAGCTCTGCAGGCAGGCAGTGACTAGACTGCCTCCTTGCTGGGCAGGGCATCCCTGAAAATAAAAAAAAAAATTCAGTAGCACAAGGGAAGCTCATAAATAAAGCCCTAACTACCTGGGACAGAACACCTGGGAACAAAAAGTGATTTATGAGTTCTGCTGCAGCAAACCTAAACGTACCTGCCCAGCAGCTCTGAATGAACAATGGAGCTCACAGCTCAGCAGTTTAGCTCCTATAAAAGACAGATTGTCTCCTCAAGCAGCTCCCTGACTCCTGTATATCCAAAAGTCACCGCATAAAGGAGACATCAGATTGACATTTGGCAGCTATCCTTCTGGGACAAAGATAGCAGAAGTAGAAACTGGTAACAACTCTTACTGTTCTGCGGCTGCTGCAGGCAATTCCCAGGGAAGCAGGGCCTGGAGTGAACGTTAGCAGTCCTACAGCAGAGGGGCCAGACTGTTAGAAGAAAAACTAAGAAACAGAAATAACTTCATCATGAACAAACTAGACGTCCACTCAGAGACCCAATCTGAAAGTCAGCAACTAAAAAGATGACAGGTAGGTAAATCCATAAAGATGGGAAGAAACCAGTGCAAAAAGGATGAAAACACCCGAAACCAGAACACCTCTCCTCCTACAAGGGATCACAACTCCTCACCAGCAAGAGAACAAGACTGGGTGGAGAATGAGTGTGATGAAATGACAGAATCAGACTTCAGAAGGTGGGTAGTAAGAAACTTCTGTGAACTAAAAGAACATGTTCTAACCCAATGCAAAGAAACTAAGAACGTTGAAAAAAGATTTGATGAAATGCTAACAAGGATGGACAACTCATAAAGGAATATGAGTGAATTGATGGAGCTGAAAAACACAACACAAGAACTTCGTGAAGCATGCACAAGTTTCAACAGCCAAATTGACCAAGCAGAAGAAAGGATATCAGAGGTTGAAGATCAACTCAATGTAATAAAACAAGAATGCATGATTAGAGAGAAAAGGAATGAACAAAGTCTCCAAAAAATGTGAGACTATGTGAAAAAACCTAATCTACGTTTGATAGCTGTACTTGAATGCAACGAAGAGATTGAATCCAAGCTGGAAAATACTCTTCAGGATATTATCCAGGAAAACTTCCCCAACATTGCAAGCCACACCAATATTCCAGTCCAGGAAATACAAAGAACACCACAAAGATATTCTTCACGAAGAGCAGCCCCAAGGCACATAATTGTCAGATTCACCAGGATTGAAATGACGGAGAAAATACTAAGGGCAGCCAGAGAGAAAGGTCGGGTTACCCACAAAGGGAAGCCCATCAGACTCACAGTAGATCTCTCAGCAGAAACCCTACAAGCCAGAAGAGAATGGGAGCCAATATTCAACATCCTTAAAGAAAAGAACTTTCAACCCAGAATCACATATCCAGCCAAACTAAGCTTCATAAGTGAAGGAAAAATAAAATACTTTGCAAACAAGCAGGTACTCAGAGATTTCATCACCACCAGGCCTACTTTACAAGAGTTCCTGAAAGAGGCACTAAACATAGAAAGGAACAACCAGTACCAGCCACTCCAAAAACATGCGAAACACCAAAGAGCATCAACACAATGAAGAACCTGCATCAACTAATGGGCAAAAGAGCCAGCTAGCACGAAAATGGCTAGTATCAAATTCACACATAACAATATTAACCCTAAATGTATATGGATTAAATGCCCCAAACAAAAATCAGACTGGCAAATTGGATAAAAAGCCAAAACCCATTGGGGTGCTGTATCCAGGAAACCCATCTCACATACAAGGTTACTCAAAGGCTCAAAATAAAGGGATAGAGGAAGATTTACCAAGCAAACGGAGAGCAAAAAAAAGCAGGAGTTGCAATTCTCATCTCTGATAAAATAGACTTTAAAGCAACAAACATCAAAAGAGACAAAGAAGGACATTACATAATGGTAAAACGATCAATGCAACAAGAAGAGCTAACCATCCTAAATATATATGCACCCAATACAGGAGTACCCAGATATATAAGGCAAGGTCTTAATGACTTACAAAGGGACTTAGACTCCCAGACAATTATACTGGGTGACTTTAACATGCCATTGTCAATATTAGACACATCAACAACAGAAAATTAACAACGATATCCAGGACCTGAACTGAGACCTGGAACAAGCTAACCTAATAGACGTTTATAGAACTCTCCACACCAAATCAACAGAATATACATTCTTCTAAGCACCACATCACACCTACTCCAAAACTGACCACATAATCGGGAGTAAATCACTCAGCAAATGCAAAACAATGAAGACACAAAATACCAGAATCTCTGGGACACATTTAAAGCAGTCTCTAGAGGAAAATATATAGCAATAAGTGCCCACATGAGAAGCAAGGAGAGATCAAAAATTGACACCCTATCGTCAAAATTGAAAGAGCTACAGGAGCAAGATCAAAAAAACTCAAAACCTAGCAGAAGACAAGAAATAGCTAAGATCAGAGCAGAGCTGAAGGAGACAGAGACACAAAATCCTTCAAAAAATCAACAAATCCAGGAGCTGGTTTTTCGAAAAGATCAACAAAATAGACAGACCACTAGCCAGATTAATAAAAAAGAAAAGAGAGAATAACCAAATTGACGCGATAAAAAATGATAAAGGGGATATCACCACAGATTCCACAGAAATTCAAACCATCATCAGAGATTATTACAAACAACTCCATGCACATAAGCTAGTAAACCTGGAGGAAATGGATAAATTCCTGGACACTTGCCTCCTCCCAAGCTTAAACCAGGAAGAAGCCGAAACTCTGAACAGACCCATAAAGAGGTCTGAAGTTGAGGCAGTAATTAAGAGCTTACCATCCAAAAAAAGCCCAGGTCCAGAAGGGTTCACAGCCGAATTCTACCAGACACACAAAGAGGAGTTGGTACCATTCCTTCTGAAGCCATTCTAAACAATCCAAAAAGAGGAAATCGTTCCCAATTCATTTTATGAGACCAATAACATCCTGATACCAAAACCCGGCAGAGACTCAACCAGAAAAGAAAACTTCAGGCCAATATCCATGATGAACATAGATGCAAAAATCTTCAATAAAATACTGGCAAGCCAATCGCAACAGCACATCAAAAAGCTAATCTGACATGTTCAAGCAGGCTTCATCCCGGGGATGCAAGGCTGGTTCAACATACGCAAGTCTATAAATGTAATACACCACATAAACTGAACCACAGACAAAAACCTCATGATTATCTCAACTGATGCAGAGAAGGCCTTTGACAAAATTCAACAGCCCTTTATGCTAAAAACACTCAATAAGCTAGGTATTGACGGAACGTATCTCAAAATAATAAAAGCTATTTATGACAAACCAACAGCCAAGATCATACTGAATGGGCAAAAACTGGAAGCATTCCCTTTGAAATCTGGCACTAGACAAAGATGCCCGCTCTCACCATTCCTATTCAATATACTGCTGGAAGTTCTAGGCAGACCAATCAGGCAAGAAAAAGAAATTAAGGGCATTCAAATAGGAAAGGAGGAAGTCAAATTGTCTCTATTTGCAGACGACATGATTGTATATCTAGAAGATCCCATCGTCTCAGCCCCAAATCTCCTGAAACTAATAAGCAAATTCAGCAAAGTCTCAGGATACAAAATCAATGTGCTAAAATCACAAGCATTCCTATACACCAATAATAGACTTAAAGAGAGCCATATCAAGAACGAACTGTCATTCACAATTGCTACAAAGAGAATAAAATACCTAGGAATACAACTAACAAGGAACGTAAAGGGCCTCTTTACGGAGAACTACAAGACACTGCTCAACGAAATAAGAGAGGACACAAACAAATGGAAAAACATTCCATGTTCCTGGTTAGGAAAAATCAATATCGTGAAAATGGCCATATGGCACAAAGTAATTTACACATTCAACGCTATTCCCTTCAAGCTACCAATGACCTTCTTCGCAGAACTGGAAAAAATCACCTTAAACTTCATATGGAACCAAAAGAGAGCCCGCATACCCAAGTCAATTCTAAGCAAAAAGAACAAAGCAGGGGGCATCACACCACCAGACTTCAAACTATACTACAAGGCTACAGTAATCAAAAGAGCATGGTACTGGTACCAAAACAGAGATATAGACCAATGGAACAGAACAGAGCCCTGGAGGCAACACAACATATCTACAACCATCTGATCTTTGGCAAACCAGACAAAAACAAGCAATGGGGAAAGGATTCCCTGTTTAATAAATGGTATTGGGAAAGATGGCTAGCCATGTGCAGAAAGCAGAAACTGGACCCCTTCCTGACACATTACACTAAAATTAACTCCAGATGCATTAAAGTCTTAAACATAAGACCTAACACCATAAAAACCCTAGAAGAAAATCTAGGCAAAACCATTCAGGACGTAGGTGTAGGCAAGGACTTCATGACCAAAACAGCAAAAGCATTGGCAACAAAAGCCAAAATAGACAAATGGGACCTAATCAAACTCCACATCTTCTTCATGGCAAAAGAAACAGTCATTAGAGTGAATCAGCAACCAACAGAATGGGAAAAAATTTTTGCAGTTTACCCATCTGACAAAGGGCAGTTAGCCAGAATTTACAAAGAACTAAAACAGATTTACAAGAAAAAAACTAACAAGCCCATTCAAAAGTGGGCAAAGCATATGAACAGATACTTTACAAAACAAGACATACATGAGGCCAACAAACATATGAAAAAATGCGCATCATCACTGATCATCAGAGAAATGCAAGTCAAAACTACACTGGGATACCATCTCACGCCAGTTAGAATGGCGATCATTAAAAAATCTGGAGACAACAGATGCTGGAGAGGATGTGGAGAAATAGGAACACTTTTGCACTGTTGGTGGGAGTGTAAATTAGTTCAACCATTGTGGAAGACAGTGTGGCGATTCCTCAAGGACCTAGAAATAGAAATTCCATTTGACCCAGCAATCCCATTACTGGGTATATATCCAAAGGATTATAAATCATTCTACTATAAGGACACGTGCACACGAATGTTCATTGCAGCACAGTTTACAATAGCAAAGACCTGGAAACAACCCAAATGCCCACTGATGATAGGCTGGACAGGGAAAATGTGGTACATATACACCATGGAATATTATGCAGCCATCAAAAATGATGAGTTTCTGTCCTTTGTAGGGACATGGATGAACCTGGAAACCATCATTCTCAGCAAACTGACACAAGAGCCGAAAATCAAACACCACATGTTCTCACTCATAGGCGGGTATTGAACAATGAGAACACATGGACATAGGGAGGGGAGCACTACACACTGGGGTCTGTTTGGGGGGAAATAGGGGAGGGACAGCATGGGGAGGGGAGTTGGGGAGAGATAGTATGGAGAGAAGTGCTAGATGTGGGTGATTGGGAGGAAGGCAGCAGGTCACACTGCCACGTGTGTGCCTATGCAACGATCTTGGATGT